TCCAAATAAGCTCTGATGTTACAGCCTCCTGTTGCTGCAGGACTTTTCAGGAGCTTCTGTTCAGAGTCAACTCTCCTCCCTGGAGCTGTCAGGAGTGTGGCCATACTCTACGCAGTGTGTCACCACACCCTTCCCCAAGTCATGACTATACTAGGAAGAAGAGGGGAGAAGAAGAAGGAAAGACAGAGAATAGTTAATACATAGTTCATTTGTGAACCTTCCAGACTTTGATTGCTCCCCTCAATCCTTTTCCTTTGCATTTGGGCTTTGTGACAACCTAGTTCTGAATTTGTTGTGGATCATTATTTTGTGCCAATATGTATACATCTCACTGCTTTCTTTAAGTTCTGTGCCATTTATATTCCTATGCATAAAAATCACTATTTCCTAAGCAAATCCCAAAAAAACCAAAGGCCCAATTTTCTCTCTGATATGCAGATGTCAACACATAATGGAGGGGTTGGGCAGAATAGAAGTTCAGTGGATTAATCAAAGGGGAATGAAGGGAAGGGAGGGGGGATGGGAATAGGAAAGATAATAGAATGAATTGAATGTAACTTTCCTATACTCATATATGAATACACAACCAGTGAAACTCCACATCACAAACAACCACAAGAAAGAGATCTTAGTTAGAATAAGTTATACTCCATGTATATCTTAATATGTCAAAATGCACTCTACTGTCATGTATATCTAAAAAGAACAGATTTAAAAACTTCTTTTGTATATATAGAAAATTACAATTGCCTTATGTAACTATTTAATAGGAAATGAAACAGTAATACCCAAAGTATAATTCCTAATTCCAATAAATACAGATCTATTTAAAAACACACACACAAATCTTTACAAAAATCAATCCTAGTCATGGAGGTTCCTTTGCACACAGAATGTATGAGTTGGGAGGCAAATATCCATACAGTCTAGAGTGGATCCAGGGGGCTAGGACTGTAGCTCAGTGGTTAAGCGTTTGCGTAGCATTTGTGAGACACTGGGTTTGATCCTCCACGCCACATAAAAATAAATAAATAGAATACAGGTATGTCCATATACAATTAAAATATATATCTTTAAAAAAAAAAAGAGTGGATCCACACCAGAAGAGGGAGATTGGGAGGGGAAGCTGGGGGAGAAGACAGCTTTATGGGAAGATGCAAAGTGTAACTGAACTGCATCTTGTGGCAGTGACCATGAAAGAAACCAGGGGCAGAGCTAAGGGTGAAATTCAGCAGTCCCACTAGAGGAAATTAGTGTATTTGTTTATGTTTCCATGGCAACCAAAGTACCCTAGAAACAGGAAATAGGCCAGGTGGAGAAATAAAGAGAAGTACAAATCCCCAAATTATGACATTCTCAACTGGACCTTAAGGTAGCAGGTTGCAGAGGTTTCTAAAAATTCATCTTTATAGAAATGACTGGTTTTTAGGTTTAATGCTTTAAATATTTTTTTTTCTGCAATAAAGGTATTTTGGGACATTAGGAGCTATCTCTGGAGACAGACACATACAATGACTTCATTTCAATCCTTTTTTGTCTTTTGGGTTTGGTACTGGGTTGGAACCCAGGGCCTTGCACATGCTAGGCAAGCACAGCACTCTACCACTGAAAGTCTACAAAATAGATAGAAGCCAAAATGGAGAATTCACCTTTCTTCATCTTTTTTCCCCTTTTGTTGGGATTTCCTTCCACTAGAAAGCCTACATAGATCAGAGAAAAGTGGTGTAGCTATATTATTGCTGACATGTTGATATCAATTCACGCTTATTGGCTTAGAATTAAACTGTAATCTCCTAGTAGGAGCTATATATTTTTTTCACTTGCCCTACACACTTTCTGTGGTCATCCACCATTCACTTTGCTACCGGAGTCATCTTACACAAACTCTTTAATGACACTTGGGTGCCTACAGATAAGGGACCACACTATTGTTTCGCTTTAATTTTTTTTTTTTTTTTTTTTGAGATATGTTTCTCTTTGTTGCCCAGATTGGTCTCAAACTACTTGGTTTAAGGGATTCTCTCCCCTCAACCTCCCCAGCAGCTGGGACCACAGGCGAATGCCACTGCATGTGCCTGGGACCATACTATTTAGATGAATTCAGAGTCTTCCTCAGTCTCTCCTTGTATTCTCATATCCTATTGTATTATTCATCCTTTTTCTCTATCTATTCTCCGTCTCAATTCAAAATCACTACTTCCATGAGGCCTTTACACATCTGTTTCTCCCAGTAAAATGAAAGTTCCATGATAGCTACTTCCTATGGAATCAATTTTTAAATCACTCTTCCATCTTTTCCCTGAACCCATCATTCATTCACCATCTCATTAATTCTTCCAACAAATATTTATCAATTGCTTACTCTATGCCAGATAAGTATGGCTGAATAATTCTCTTATTATAATAATGAAAATAATTAAAAAGGGAATAATAATGTGCATTGAGCATTTGTTTTATATCACTTACTATGTGTTTTCCATTTTTTTATTTGTAAAATTTTGAAATAATTATGATACACAAGAATTTAAAACAATAGTACATAGAGGTCTGCTTGCCCTTCATGCAGCGTCCCCTGATGGTAACATCTGCCAGAAATGTAGTATAACCTGAAAACCAGGAAATTGACAATGGAACAATAAACCACAGACCTACAGTTTTTGCCATTTTTGTATACATTCACTTGTATATGTGTATACATGTGATTTGGGGCAATTTTAAACTGTGTATAGATTTGTAAACCCATTACAATTATGATAAGGAAATGTACTATCACCACAACAAAACACACTTGTGTTCTCTTTTATATTTGTGAGCAACACACATACACACACACCACCATCCGTATCCCCTCACAAACACTAACCACTTTTCAATCTCTATAGTTGTCATTTTGAACATTGGGGATTTTTTTTTTTTTTTTGCTGGGGATCGAACCCAGGGCCTTATGCATGCAAAGCAAGCACTCTACCAACTGAGCTATATCCCCAGCTATAGTTGTCATTTTGAGAATGCCATATAAATGAAATGATACAGTGATTGACTTTTTTCACATTATACATTTATAATTTGAATATATTTATATTAGTTTTATTCACAATCCATTTGGATATATCTTTCTATAAGATAGTCAAGTATTCCCCCACCCACTTTTGCATATGGACGCCCAGTTTCTCCAGGACCTTTGTTGAAAGGTTACTCTTCCTTCTTTCTTTTGCCCTTTAACCAAAAGGGGGGTTTATGGGGGTTTATTCCTGTTTGTGGGGGTCTCTTCCTGTGGGGATTTATTCCTGTTTGTGGGTTCCCCAACCTGGATGCATTAATTATTGATCTGTGTGTCTCTCACTATGTACTATCTTGATTACCATAGTTTCACAGTGAGTCTCAGAGTGATTTCTTCAATTTTATTTTTATTTTTCAGAATTATTTTAACCATCCCAGTTCCTTTGCTTTCCCATGTAAATTTTAGAATAAGCTCATGTATACCTACAGAAAATTTTCCTGGGATCTTAAATTTTAATAATTAAAAAAATTTTTTGGACTGGGGTTGTAGCTCAATGATAGGGTGCTTGCCTAGCACTGTGAGGCACTGGGTTCAATCCTCAGCACCACATAAAATTAAATATATAAAATAAAGGTATTAGTCCATTTACAACTAATACACACACACACACACACACACACACACACACACACACACATATATATATATATATATATATATATATATATATAAAGAATCCCATTTTTAAAACAAGTTTTCTCCATTCCATTTATTTGTTTTTATTAACTTTTTTTTATTACTTATACTATTGTATGCCCCATAAATGATCAGGAGAACTTAATTTTCCTTAAGAGTTATGCCACTTTTGACACAGAGGTTACCAAAAAATTGTATGTATTACCTTTACAAGTGTTCTTTAAATTTCATAGTAACCCAAAGATGCTAGTACCATCTCCAGTTTATATGTAAGGAAACTAAGGTATGGGTAAATTAAATAACTTGTCTGATGTTTATAAGTGGAAGAGCTTGGATTTGAACCAAAGCAATTTTATTCTATGACAGACTCTCTCCTTCTCTGTGCTATGCTGCTTCTCTTTGAATATATTTGTTTTATTCGAGAAATTTTTATTGAGTGCCTATTATGTATCAGGAACTATTCTAGGTGCTGCGGCTATAGCAGCCATGAGTGACATAAAATAAAGAAGTAAATAAAATAAAATTCCTGCTCTCATGGAACCTCATGTTGAAAAGGGGTGGAGAACTTATGGTATGGATATAAGAATTATTGTTTTGTTTTTGTTTGTTTATTGTTTTGGTACCAAGGATTGAACCCAGAAGTGCTTAACCACTGAGCCACATCCCTAGTCCTTCTTATTTTTTGTTTTGAGAAAGGGTCTCGTTGAGTTGCTTATAGCCTCGATAAATTTCTGGCTTTGAATGAATTAATGTTTTGTTTAAGCATTATTTTATTATTGAGCTTACATTAGGAACAAAGAACCCCTTAGATATAAGGGTTGAGATCTTACCCAAAAGATATGCTTGTTCACTGGATATAAACATTCACCTGCATTCTACCAATCTTCTGGGGATGGAAAAATCCCTCGGTTAGTAGATAAGACCTGGAAAGACTCAGGGAAGTAGTGAGCTAGTCCACCAAGAAAGGGGTCAGAGCTGTCTAGACATTAGCTCTTGTGTGGTAGGAAGTAACACCACACCTGCTCCTAGCAGGTATTCAAGGGACTGAGAAAATAGGAACATATGCAAAATGCCTGGGCATTTGTGCAGTCTCTGAGAATGGACTGTAGATTATTCAAACCTAACTCATGAGCGAGTTAGTTATAGAATGATCAGGAAATCAGTTTGTTTTAATTATTTTCTAAGAAACCTTTATTGAAGTGTACTGTACATAAAGAGCACAAATCACAAGCGTACACCCAGTGAATTTTCACTCGTGTAAACAATATCAAAGAAATAGAACATTACTGGCTCCCCAAGAGTCTCTGTGCCCCCTTCAGTCATTAGCTCCAACAACAATCACCAACTTAATTTTAAACACCTTCGAATTGTTTTGACTGTTTTAGAACATGAGATACATGGATTCATCCAGGGGATCCTCTTTTGTGTCTGGATTCCTTCACTCAACGTTTCATTGGTGAGCTCACACTTCTATTGCAAGTAGTTCTAGTTTGTTTGTTCTTGTACCATGTGGTACTCCACTGGGTGAAGATGCTCTAACTTATTCTTCCTATTGCATATGGACACTGAGGCTGTTTCCAGTGTTTGGCTTTAACAAACAGTGCTGTTATTAACATTCTAACACATACAGAAAAAAGCACATTAGACATACTTCTTCTAAAATTGCCAGTTCCTAAGGGGTATGCATGATTTGGTCTGTCTTAGTAGATACTGTCAAATAATTTTCCAAAGTCATAGCACTGTTTCAGAGTGCTTTCAAAAATGTTCTCTTGTTCTCTCTTTTATTTAGTAAATATTTTGGGGGGAATTCTAATCTGTTTCATCTAACAGCAGCAGTTTTTAAATCTGTGCTTGGGCCAGAGAGGAACTACAAAGATGGGAAACCTGAGGGAGGCAGAAACGGTGGCAGCTTCAGGATGTTCTTCCTCTCTGGATGCTGGTGGTTCTAATTCTGTTGTAATAAAGCACAATGTTCCCTTACATCATTGAATTGAAGTGTTTTCCAGTGAATGAGTCCAATTTGTCTCATCATTTGTATATGGAAAGGAACATGGTATTTTTTAAAAAATATTTTTAGTTGTAGATGGACACAATACCTTTTGTTTTATTTATTTTTATGTGGGGTTGAGGACTGAACCCAGTGCCTCACATGTGCCAGGCAAGTGCTCTGCTACTGAGCTACAACCCCATCATAGCCTGAGACATAAGAGATTTTTCAGAAAATGTTTGGGCAAATGAATGAATAAATAAATAATGTTTCCAAAAGTTAGCAACTATGTATCAGAGCCTGGTATAGCATTGTTTGTTCATTACACAGGTATTAATCTTATGTCTCAAATTCAATGATCTGAACCCTTTTCTTGAATCTACCCCAATACCATGGGGTTGTATCTGAACTCTCTTGGGTGTACGCATGTGAGATCAGTCAGCTAGGGAAATCCACTCCCACAGAGGGTCATTCTGGCACCCCCCGCCTCATAAAAATCATGGTTAAAAATCAGAGGTGCACAGAGAGAAGATATGACAGATACGTCCATACAGTCAGAATGATGCAGTTGAGCCTATAACCGTTCAGTATGAGCACAGGGCTCATTTACATACAGTATCACATTTAATCTTCTCAAAAGCCCTGTGGGACATGTTATTATGATTTTCATTTTATAGATAAGGCAGTTCAGAGAAGTGAAGTGAGTTTTCCAAGGTCACAACCGGTAATTAAACTTAGGTCTAAATTGGGGTCTGTCTAAATTAAGAGTTGGAGATTTTGATAATTACATGTGCATAAATAATTTAAAAGTTAAATTTTCCTTGGCTCTCAAGTGCACATAGTGCTTCTGCATTTCATTTCAAATAAGTTAAATACATTCAGAGCCTACTATGTACTAATGACATTTGCGTAACTTAAGCTAACATTAAAATGAGTTCACTTGTTTTAAATATTCCTTCAGCTTCCCTGGTTAGGAGGCAGCTGGAGCCTGAATGAAATTTTTTTCTGATGATGATAGGAGAGGTGGACAGGAACCTGAGTGAGTAGGTCTTGGTCAGGGTTAGGAAGGGTTTTCCAGAAGGTGAGATGAGCAAGAGCAGTAGAAAGAAGGAAAATGACTTGAAAGGAAAAAGACAGGAAAAGTACTTTGAGAGGGAACCATGGGAATTCTATCAGCACCTTCTGTGGTTTGTTTAACAAGAAATATCCAGTTCTTAACAGCCAAAGAAAGCAGAATAAATCCGAGGCACGTTGGCAGATCCTGGCATCGCTGGGCTACTGAGTGCGTAAACACTCCAGGGTACAGACGACGTGGCTGGCCACTCAGGCACAGTGCTGAGTGGCAATGAAGCAGTCTGTTGTGACCCTAGGCTGGGAGCTGGGAGAAGATGAGCACCAGGTGACAGGGCAGCGCTGCAGTGAGAGGCGAAGCACTGCTGAGACGCTGTCCCACTGTTCCACAGTCCTGTTGCAGGCAAGAGGACAGAAGGAATCCTGGGGAAGAGGACAGAGAGAGAGAATGATTGTGTCACTGTTACAGGCTCTAACCCAGAAGCAAAATTCTGCTTCCTGGCCCTGCTGCCAGCGTAGATAGTGCTTGGAATCGTCCCGTTGCCCGGACAGTTTCAATTCTTTGTCACATACAGCTCATGCCCTGGTGTTTGGTTTTCTTCTGCCCCTCAGTTTCAGATGGCCCACTATGGTCCCTGCTCATGATTCAGACTGAAATAGCGACCTGTTTTGCATGCCTGTTCAGGCGGCATTTCAGTTCTTGTTTCTGTGAAAAGGATCTGTTAGGGAAGCAGTATGAAATGTCAGGTTCCGGTCTGGTATTCCCCCCCTTACCTACAATTTGTAGCTTGACCTCTGTGGGATTCCCAGTCATGCCCAGAGCCCCTGCATGCTAAGAAGCCTGTCTGATTCAAAAGTTGCTAGTTGATGTGATGACATCACAGTCCTGTGAGGTCATACTTTTCAACTTCATCACTTTACATGGTCCGATTAGAATCCAAATTATTAGTAAGTCCATCCTATTCTCATTTAGGACATGCCTACTAAAGACACAGAGTTATCAAAGAATTATCCATTTTCTCCTGAAAAATAACTGAAGAAGCATGTATAGATGTTTATAATGATTTGTTCCAGAGATTCACATTTCTGAAAGACAGATAGTCCTTGTTAATATCTAACTCATATCTGTCTTAAGACATTTTAAATTTAGTCTTTCTTTTCCTGTCTTGGACATATATAGATCATGGTTTCTCATTTGTGTGATCCATCCTTTTCTTGAAGTCTTTTCCAAATATAAGACCAGTTAGTTTTTTTGTTTTTTGGGTTGTTTTTTTTTTTTTTTTTTGGCAGTACTAGATTGAGCCCAGGGCCTCACACTTGCTAAACAAGCACTCTACCACAGAAATACACTCCCAGCCCGCACTTTCTTTCTCTTTCTTTTGAACCAGGAATTGAACCCAAGGAGCTTAATTACTGAGCCACATCCCCAGCTTAATTACTGAGTGAGACAGGGACTCACTAAGTTACCTAGGGCCTTGCTAAGTGGCTGAGGCTGGCTTTGAACTTATGATCCTCCTGCTTCAGCCTCCTGAGCCACTGGTATTACAAGTATGCACCACTGTGCCCAGTTTCCAGCCCTTTTTAAGAAAGTTTTGTTTTGAGACAGGGACCCACTAAGCTGCTCAGGTTGGCTTTGAATACTCAAGCTTTCAGCCCCAACCTCCTGAGTAGCTGTGATTATAGGCACACACTGAGCCCCGCTTATCACTTAGATCTTTATCATCATCTTGAGGATTTCAAGGTTCTATATAAGACATGGGGAACTTGATTTTTAAGTATGGAAATTCTTAAGATTATAGTGCTGTATCTACTGAGGACTGTATTTTTCAACTTTTCTGGCTATTACAACAGGTCAGAGAGGGCTACTGTTCCTTTCAGAAGTGAAGGCTTTACCCTTGATCTCATTTATTCATCCCTCCCTTATCTGAAGAAAAGCCCGTCTCCAGTTATCTATATATTCTTTATTTTATTTATTTTTTTTAAAGAGAGAGTGAGAGAGGGAGAGAGAGAGAGAGAGAGAGAGAGAGAGAGAGAGAGAGAGTTTTTTTAATATTTATTTTTTAGTTATCGGTGGACACAACATCTTTGTATGTGGTGCTTAGGATCGAACCCGGGCCGCACGCATGCCAGGCAAGCGCTACCGCTTGAGCCACATCCCCAGCCCCTATATATATTCTTTATTGTCCACTTTATTCAGAAAGCCTCTTTCCATATGTTTCAAGAAAATAGCCACATGAGCTGAGTTGGGGACGGATAGGAGAGCTAGGAATGTGGAGCAGTCAGTCAGAATCCATCAAGGACTCACCTAAAGAAAAAAAAATAAATGAACTTGAACAGTTCACAAAAGAGGAAATATATCAGGCTAAAAGACACGTGGGAAAATGTTCAACTTCACTAATAACAAAAGAAATGCAAATATAAAAAACCCAGGTACCATATTCACCTACAAAACTTGCAAAAGTTAAAAAAAGAAAAAAAAAAAAAAAAAACCAAGAACAGTGATGATGAGCTGCATGCAGTGCAGTGGCTGTCCCTGTGCCTGATGGTGGTGATACTAATCAATATGGATTTTAGGGAACTGATCAGATGATACATATCAATTCTATTCCTGTTAAATTGTCCTAAGAACATTGTGCAAAATAGGTGTAAAGTTTAGTCACAATGATGTGGTGTTTTTATAAGACTGAGAAAGATGGGAACAACTTATATATGAAAAAATGCTCTTATTTAAGTAAAAGTATTATCTAAATATGGAGTAATATGAGTATTATTTAATATTCTGGTTAAATCAGTTACAAATAGTCCCAAAGTAGAACACTAATGTGACCATGGAAAGATGTTTTATAGTTATAGTACCATGGGAAAATGCTTTTATTTCAATTGTTAAGTAAGAAGAGCAAAATATAAAAATTGTATATATATATATATATATATATATATATATACATTTAATCTCAGATATGTTAAAAAAATAGAAAATAGAAGAAAGGAATAAAATACTGTTTACTAATTTATTAAGAATGAATGATGAAGCAGGGCATGGTGGCATACACATGTAATCACAGCAATTTAGGAGGCTGAGGCAGGAGGATTGAATGTTCAAAGCCAGCCTTAGTTTTTTTTTGAGGGCTGGGGATGTGGCTCATTGGTAGAATGCCCCTGTGTTGAAGCTCCAGTACTATAAAAAAAGAGTGAGTGGTTGTCTTGTAATATGGAAATAACTTTTTTCTTCTCTTTCCCCCCAGTTTTTCTATAATGATATTACCATTATAATAAAATTTTTATTAAAAAATAATTAGTGTTTGGGGCTGGGGATGTGGCTCAAGTGGTAGCGTGCTCGCCTGGCATGTGTGCGGCCCGGGTTTGATCCTCAGCACCACACACAAACAAAGATGTTGTGTCTGCCGAGAACTAAAAAATAAATATTAAAATTCTCTCTCTCTCTCTCTCAAAAAAAAATTCTCTCTTCTCTCTCTCTGTTTAAAAAAATAATAATAAGTGGCTACAGTAATGAAGACTGTGATACTGGCATAAGAATGGATATATAGATCAATGGAACTATCAGAGAATCCAGAAATAAACCGCCAAAAATTAAACAATAAAAATAAATAAAAATTAAAAATAAATAAATAAATAAATAAACTATTATCTTTAAGGTCAATTGACTTTCAACAAGGGTTCTAAGATAATTCAATGTGGAAAGAAGAGTCTTTTGAATAAAGAATGCTAGGACAAGTAAAAAATCCACAAGCAAAAGAATGAAGTTGGACCCCTTCCTTATACTAAATACAAAAATTAACTAAACTGAATTATAGCACTAAATGTAAAAGTTTAAATTATAAATTCTTTTTTTGTTGTTGTTTTTGGTACTGGGGATTGAACTCAGGGACACTTTACCACTGAGCTACATCCCCAGTACTTTTTACTTTTTATTTTGAGATAGGATTTTACTAAGTTGCTGAGGCTTGCCTGGAACTTAAGATCCTTGTGCCTCGTGTCCCAAGTTGCTGGGATTGCAGGTGTGCACTGTGGCTAAAACTATAAACTTCTTAGAATAGAGCATAGGAATAAATCTTTATTATTTATGTCAGGGAAAGCCTTCTTAGATATGACATCAAAAGCACAAACAACAAAATAAAAAGGAATAAATTGATCTTCATCAGAATTACATACTTTTGTTCTTCTAAAGACATGTCAAAAAAGTGAAAAACAACTTAAGGAATGTGGAAAATATTTGCTAATCATATATATAATAAAGAGCTTACATCCAGAATATATAAAGTACTCTAATACCTCAACAATAAAAAGGTAACATAATCCAATTGTAAAACAGGCAAATATTTGTATAGGCATTTCTCAAAAAAAGATATGCAAATGTCAAATAAGCACTATTTATTTCCTCTTGCTATTGTAGTGACTTAAAACAATACAACTTTATTATCTTATAGTTCTGGAAGTCATGAGTCCAACATGGTCCAACGTGGGTAGAAATGGAGAGTGATGCTAACAGGCAGATGGTTTTCTCAGGGGGTTGTGAAAATGTTATAAAATTTATCGTGGTGATGTTTACACAACTGTAAATAAACTAAAAGTCATTTTGTATGTACAATTTAATTGGATGGATCACATGGCATATGGTAAAACTCATTAAAGCTATCTTGAAATTGTCAAGTAGGTTGCAGGGGTAGCTTAGTAGTAGGGTGCTTGCTTGGCGTGCATAAGGTCTGGGTTCTGCCCCCAGAACCACACACACACACACACACACACACACAAAGGACAAATGAATCCTAAGTAGGGTGCCATATCACTTTAACCAAAAATCCAACTCAAAGTGGCTTAAAGGGAATTTATTGGCTCATTTAACTGAAAAGTGTAGAAGAAAAGAGCTCCCTTAGGACAAGCAGAGCCCAATTGTCTCCCCCCAGCCAGGAGCTGGAGCTCTGAGTAGGCAGCCTACTACCTGATTAGGGGAGAGTGGTCCATTCAAGGTAATCCTGCAAGCAAAGAGAGGCAAACAGAAGGGCAAATTCAAAGGTAAGTATCAGAGAATGTATGCGCAAGTCATAGGCGCATTCTAGGGAAGCTGCAGCCTTCTTCAAACTGAGACTTCAGAAAACCAGCTAAGAAGAGCTGGAGACGCAGCTTAGTGGTACAGCACTTACCAAGCATGAGTGAAACCCTAAATTAGGTTTGTCGGGTGGAAGTGGGGAGAAAAACAGCTAAGGACAATCATAAAGACATTTTATAAGTGTTTTGGATTGACTACTGATAAGTACAGGATTTCTTTAAGTGTGCCCTTAAAAATGTTCTAAATTTAGATTGCAGTGATGATTATACAATCTTGAAATAACTAATATTGAAAACTCCTGTTTAGTGATCCACTAAAGAGAATGAAATTAAATGTGAACTTAAGGCCAGTACAGTGGCCCACACTTGTAGTCCCAGTGACTCAGGAGGCTGAGACAGGAGGATTGCAAGTTCAAGGCTAGCCTCAGCAACTTAGCGAGACCCTCAGAAATTCAGTGAATCCTGTCTCAAAATGAAAAACAATAATAAAAAAAGAGGCTGTAGGGCCAGGATTATGGCCAGGGTTGTGGCTCAAGGGCTGGGGTTGTGGCTCAGTGGTACAGTGCTTGCCTAGCACGCATGAGGCACTGGGTTAGATTCCCCAGCACCAAAAAAAAAAAAAAAGGTATTTTGGTCATCTACAACTAAATATATTAAAAAGAAAAAAAGAGGCTGTGGATATAGCTCAGTGGTAAAGACCCCTGGGCTCAATTCCCAGTACCTGCTTCAAAATGTGCCCAAGATACCCCAAGATAATAAATGAGCCTCAGTATTTTCCAGGAGTCTAGATAAATTACCAAAAGAATTTGTAGGTGTACTCATTATTCACTCTAATCTGTAAGAAATTTGGAGTATTTGGGAAAGAAAGGGGAGAAGATTTCACACACCAGTTTATTGAAAGTGGAATGGGTAGGATGAAAGTGAAAGGAATCTTCCTGGAACCCTTAGTAAAATTAAGTCCATTTCCAAGAACATGAATTCTGCAAGGTAAGGACCACGTCTGCTCATCCACAAGTGCATTCTCAGTTCCTAGAACAGTGCTAAGCCCGTTAGGACCTTGAATTGCTATTTAAGACTGAGAGTTGACACTTTTTGGTTGACCACGGAGAAAGAAACTTGATGCACCATGGAAAGCACGGAAGTAATGCTACAGAATGAATAACGGAAAAAAAGTCTTAGGTAGAGTTTGGGTTTCTTTCTTTCTTTCTTTTTTTTTCTTTTTTGGTAAATTTTGGTTTTGATTTTTGTTAAATGCTTTTTATGCATCTGTTGAGATAATCATTTAGTTTCCCCCTTGATTGTATTAACAAGGTGAATTGCATTAACTGATTTTCAAATGTTAAACCAATCTTGTGTTCCTAGGTTAAACCCACTTTGAAATGTCATATATGATCCTTTTTACATGTAGCTTTTGGTTCAATTTGTTAAAACTTTTTTTTTTTAATGATGAATCCATCTGGGCCTTAAGGGAAGATTTTTCAATTACAAATCTCAAATAGCTATTTACTAAAATAAATAGTTTAATTGATATAGGACTATTAAGATATTTCATCATAAGTCAGTATGGTCATTTCCACTTTTCAAGGTATTTGTCCATTTCATCTAAGTTGTTAAATTTTCATTGATATAACTGGATGTGGTGATGCACACTGGTAATCCCACCCACTTGGGAAGTTGAAGCAGGAGGTCCCTCAAGTTCAAGCCCAGCCTTGACAACTTAGAGGAACCCTGTCTCAAAATATAAAATTAGACCTCAGTAGTAGAGCACTCCTGTGTTCACTCTGCAGTACCAAAAAAATTTTTTTAATCGATATAAAGTTTTTGTAATGTTCTCTTCCTGTCTTCTTAATGTCTATAGAAATAAATGTGATGTTCTCTCTTTATTTTTACCCCAAACTAAAACAAATAAGGTCCATACACTGTCTTGGGCGGCCATACCTCTTAGGTTTCCTCTGCATATCTTCCCTCCATCCCCAACCATTGAGGATCAGTTTCAGATTTAAATAGACCTGTGAAAAAGAAAGGTAGATTTCAGAAACAATAAATGACAATGCTGACTTCAGGTAGAATTCTGGAAGAAGTTTGTGATCAATACAAAAAACTTGGTGATCCTGAAAGCTGTCACATATTCACTAAGAACAATTGTGCTGAACTTAATTTCCTGATGGTTACAGTATCTATCACCAGTGCTTAGTGAGGGCCAACTTTGTACCAAACATCAGTCTAAGAGTACAGACAACACAGTGGTTTAAAAAAAAAAAAAAAGCAGGCACACTCCTTGCCCTTACAATGTAGTCAGAGCAATAGTCATCAAACCGGTGTGTACATGAGTAATTATATAACTACAAACAATGATAAGGACCATGAAGGAATAGAAAAGATGGCAGAGCAGGCTGGGAACCTAATTTATATTTGATGGCAGCAGCAGGGAGGAGGGTGGTCTAAGAAAAGCCTGTAAGAGGAGCTCACATTTAATTTAAAGGTGGGTAAGGGTTAACCAGAAAAGCCATTGGAGAAGGGTGCTCTGAGCACAGTGAAGAACAGGGACAAAGACCTGGGGTCAAGACAGGGTGTGGTGAATCTGAGGAACTGAAAGAAGGCTGATGTTGCTGGAAAGTGGTGGGAGAGTGAAGCCAACTGGGGGTGGAAAAGTGAGAGGACCCAAATTAGGTAAGCTTGAAAGGCACAGCAAAAAGCCGGGCACGGTGGTGCATGCTTATAATCCCAGTGACTTCGGGGGCTGAGGCAGGAGGACCCCAAGTTCAAGGCCAGCCTCAGCAACTTAGGGAGGCCCTAAGCAAATTAGTGGACTCTGTCTCAAAATAAAAAAATAAAAAGAGCTAAGGGCTGCAGTTGTGGCTCAGTGGTAGAGTGCTTGCCTATCATGTGTGAGGCACTGAGTTTGATTAAAAATAAATAAAAAACATAAAGGTATTGTGTCCATCTACAGCTGAAAAATATTTTAAAAAAGAAAGAAAGAGCTGGGGACATGACACAGTGGTAAAAGCCCCTCTGTGTTAAATCTCCAGTGAAATAAAGTTTACTCAAATACCCCCATGGCTTATTTAGTGGCAAGGGAGGGATGGGCTTAACTTGAGACACTGGACTGATTGTAAAAGCAAATTTAAGGTGGAAAATGATAGGATCCTACTCGACATTATTTACCTGTACGTAATTTATTTACAAATATGCATAAAGAGATCTATGGCAGAGTATCCAAACTATTAGTTTTTTTGTTTTGTTTCTGTTTTTACAGTAAGCAGGACTTCTATTGAGACATCTGGGTTCTAGTCAACACTTCCAGTGAAATAAGCACTCTAATGAGAAACACCCACAACATTTTGTGTACACATTTGTGCCATTCCCCAGTGGCTGATCTCACACCTTGCTTTGATAACTCAATCCCTAGCATTACAGATATCAGAAAGAAAGCCTGTTTTGGAGACAGGCCTCGGAGCTCAAATACCAAAGCCAGACCGCCTGGGACCAAGTTCCAGGCCCACCACTTACGGGCTCTATGATGTGGAATTAGTTACTACAGTTCTTTCTTTTCATCTGGAGTATGGACACAATAAAAATGTCTACATCTTGGGGTTTGTGTGAAAGGTATACTAAAGGAATCCCTCCATAAGTATTGGCTATTAAAATTATTACTTGAACCATAGAAATTGTTCCATAATAATTGTCATATTTGGGGCTGGGGATGTGGCTCAAGCGGTAACGTGCTCGCCTGGCATTCGTGGGGTGCTGGGTTCCATCCTCAGCACCACATAAAATTAAATAAAGATGTTGTGTCTACCGAAAACTGAAAAATAAATATTAAAAAATATTCTCTCTCTCTCTCTCTCTCTTTTCTCTCTATCTTTAAAAAAATAATTGTCATAATAGAAATTAAACAAATAATTTTTAAAATATTTGTTTTCAGCTTCATGGAGTTGTAATTGATATAGAAATGGTATATATTGAAAGCGTGTAGATTTAGTTGTTTCATAATGTATATATACTTCAAAATATCATTTATACAATACAATCTTTTAATTTTTTATATTTTTTAAAAGAGAGAGAGAGAGAGAGAATTTTAATATTTATTTATTTATTTTTAGTTTTGTTTTTTTTTTTTCCGGCGGACCAACATCTTTGTATGTGGTGCTGAGGATGGAACCCAGGCCGCACGCTTGCCAGGCAAGCGCACTACCGCTTGAGCCACATCCCCGTTTTTTTAAAGTGAAAAAAAAGGGGGGACATGGCAAAAATGTTGGCTTTTGGGGGAGGGTGTGTACTGGGCATTGAAACTAGTTCAACCCCACCCAGTTCGGCATGATGAGCACATGCTTTGCTACTCCCTGAGCTACATCCCCATCCCTTAAAACAGTATTCTTCGGGATTCCAACTCTTGGGTCCCCTTCTTCCTCCGGGAGAAGTTTTTTCTGCTGTCCTTTAATAAACTTTTAATTTCTACTCTGCCCTTGCCTTGGCATGCTTCTCTGGTGTTATTCTTCAACATTGGAGAAGCAAGGACTCGTCACCGGCCAACAGTGGTAACATATTGGAGGTCCCAGACCGAGATTCTTCTACACCATGGTGGGAGCTTCTCTCTCCAATATGCCAGGTGCACCACTAGCCTGCATATTGAAAAAGTGGGATAGATTTGACCCTCAGACGCTCAAGAAAAAGCGCCTAATTTTCTTGGTCTGGCCTCAATACAAACTCTCTGATGGAGAAACCTGGCCACCAGAGGGAAGTATCAATTTTAATACAATTTTATAGCTTGATAAAATTTACAAAAAAAGGAAATTGTGTGAGGTGCCCTATGTTAAGATTTTCTTTGCTCTAAGGGAAAATCCTAAATTATGCCAACAGTTTATGATGTCTGCCATGAAGAGAAAAAAATCTTGGGGACTCACTGAGGAAAAATCAGGAGGACCCACAAAATCTCCATCTGTTGGCCTCTCTGCATCTGCTCCAACAGGCAAACCAAATATATTACCTCTCCAGGAAATGCCAGGAGGAGAACTCGGGCCGATCAAAGTACATAACCCCTTCTCCCTTCAAGACCTAAGGCAGATAAAAACTGACTCTACTGGAAAGTTAGGAGATATGCCAGATTGCCAGGATTGGACCTAACCAAAGGAGCTAATCCTGTAAGTAAAAGGAGATAATGAGGGTCTTCCAGCAGCTGCCAAAGCCATTTTGCTTTGGGGAACCTCCTCATTTCTTCCCTGCACTGTAAGGATTGCTCCATCTCTGTCTACTACTTAAAAAGAAGGGGACACTAAATGCAGTAAAGTCGCCACACCAAGACCCTTGATTTTACATCTATAGTTGCCCCTATGTGAGAACATCTGGTCCACTCATGGGGAAATCTATGGTGCCACTGATAGGAGTCATAATTAAATGGGAGTTCAAAACCTGGGGAGATTTTCTCTTATCTGGTCTGTTTTAAAGGTTATTATAAATTGTTTCTTGGATAATCTAGGCTAAATGTGTGTCTAAAAGATGATGTTTCATTGTAACAATCTGGTATCTAAATGAGTTTGAAGCATTGCATAATCTTGCAGTTAAAAGTTGGGTTTAGGTAATTGTTTAGTTTGTGATTTCAGATAGTTCATGCTAGAAAACTTAAATACTTAGGATGGAAAATTAACAACTCTACTTCCAAGTTGGCAAGTAACTCCCAATCATTTAGTTTTATTTTTTCATCAATTTTTGAACTGGGTAGCCTGAGAAGATTTCACTAGGTATACCAGTGCATTAATTTGGACAAAGATAGTAAATTATGATATGGTATCTCTTTCTCTCAGTGTGTAGGATTTAGGAAAAAAGTGTTGAATGAAACTTTGGTATGGCTTATTAAAATAACATTAAATAGCAACAGTCTTGGAAATTTTTAAAGCTTAATTTTGGATATACATGGTAGTATGTGGTTCTCTTTTAAAACTTTTTTCAGGTGATTTAATGTAACTTAATATTACTTTAGGAACTTCAGAACAAAGGAAGTGGCTTATTGATCCTAAAGAAATTTCTTCTGATGGTAGAGATCCCATTTTCAGTTTTGTGTGAGCAAGTTTTTCTAGTGTAGGAAGATGTAAAGGTAAGAAATTTTGTAAATTGTATCCTAAACTTGTATCATAATTTTCAACATCCAAACCTAAAAATTGTGACTTAAGGTTAAAATGCCTTAGGCACGAGGCTTCTCCTCAGAATTCCAGTTTTTCTTTGCTCCTTCCAGACCTCAGGCAGGATTTAAGTTGAATTGCAAATAGAAGAAGCCTGGAGCTCAGTAGGAGACAGATCTGAGGCCCAAGGAAAAAAAAAAGAGTAAAAGTGTCTTTTTACCGGAACTCAAACTAGACCAAACCAAAGAGTAAATTGTATGGCATTTACTAATTAATGGCTGGTCAATTTTTTAGGACTTTTGCTTTTTCTTAGATTCTGTATTTTTTGAGCATGATTTTGATCCTACAGACAAGTTAATGTTTTTCTGATAAGTTCTGTTTTTGATCAACTGTGGAGTTTTTAAACATTGCAATGTAGATTTTACCTGAGAAAAGTTACAAGGCCTTTACTATTGTGTTATGTGTTACACTTGTGTTATGTGTTGTATGTCTGAATGTCTGTGTGTATGTCCGTATATTATGCAGTGATATGACAATTGACAGATGAGGAGTGCTCATAAAAAATTTTTTAAAAATGGATCCAAATATCTTTGATTCACGTGATTCAAATGGTTCATTTAAATTGGGTAAACAGATAAAAGTAAAGATGTCTTTAAAATTAAGCTTATAAGTTTTTCTAGGTGTTCAAAAAGACCCTAATAAAATGTTGATGTCTATAAAATAATCTGCTTAAATTCAAAAATTTATAAATATTGTTTCAAAATGTAAACAAAAAAGGAGGTTAACAGATGGAAAAGAAAAAATAAAAGGTTCTAGGTATGGATTTAATAGAGGGAAAATGTGTTTCTGGATAAGAGAGTCTATGTGATTAAGTAATTAAGAGGGTTTAAGTAAGTGATAAAGAAGGTCTGTGTAAGTTGGTTATATGTGTAAGTTTTTGAACAAGTAATCTTAAATAAATTAAACAGCTGGTTAAAAAAAAAAAGTATTCTTCAAATGAAAAATGTAAACACACAAAGCAGCAATGGTCCTGTCTAGTAGTCTTAATCTTTGTTTCACAACAGATACTCCCAATGTAAAAGAATTTTTTTCATTTTCATTGACATCAGTTGAGTTACTAAAAATACATACAAAAGCATCAAGTTGGGCATTAGAATACATGTTGCTTCACGCAGGCTCATTTCCTTTTACAAAGCATGTCCTGACTCTGGTTTTACTGTTGAAATTGATAACACTTCTGAAAATTCAGACTTTAGATCACTTTCTGATTTCACTTCATTGTACAAGTACTCTCATCTCCTCTCTGCATTTGTTCTGTTGAAGTATTTGCAAACGACTGTAACCCATAGCAAATGTTCAAATACTAAAAAAAGCCAATAAATGTTGAGTAGCATTCAAATAATGGAACATTGGGATTTCCTGGCAGTACAGGAAATCCCAATGTTACATTATTTCAAGAATCCCACCTTGAAATTGCCAACTTAAGTTCTCACTTTGCCTCCAAAACGTATTTGTTGGATTAGCACTCCTTAGATTTCTATAAAATGTGCATATAAACTCATTACTATTTACTTTGTTTGCAAGGAAACTTGCTGTCATCAGTAGTCAGGGTCACAAACACACATCTCACACGGCAGTGAAGGTAAATCAACATTGATGAGCTCATGCCAATCAAAACATTACAGCCAATTTTTATAGCCTCCATGAGTCCATCGTCTTTTTATCAACCCAGTGACAGTCTGAGCGGGACACAGATGGGTATTAGGAATTAGAGGAGATGAGATTGGATAATTGGCCTGGATGAGGACTCTCAGAAAGGAGGGAGGGCTCCAGGGCCAAAGGGGCCTGCTTTTGTGCTTGAGAAATGATGAGGAAAGCGAAAGGGGTGGCTGCACCAGTGACGACACCAGCCTGCCCTAGAAACATTAGTGATATTTCATCGACATTTGCTTGTGTAACTTTCTGTTGTCACCGGGAAACCAGTGGGACTTTCTCCTTCAAGATGAACCCAGCCCTTGCTCTTATCACTTTCGCTTGTTCCCTGGAGGCCATGGTTGTTCGCAGAAAGTGCGCTGCTTCTGGATGAGGGGACCATGTTGACGCCATGGGAGGGAATCCTAGTGCACACAGCTCAGGGGCTCACAGGGTCTCGTGTTGGTTGGTTGGTGTGACTCAATTTCACTCTTGGATCTTTCTCCTCCTCGCTCCTTATTTTCTTCCTTGAACAGTGGAAGTCTGAAGATGTTGAAGCTGAGATATTGGGCGAAGTCCCTTCCTTACCTGGTTACCCTGACTTCAAACTCACAGTTCAAGGCTGAGCTATAAATACTCCTCTGATCACTGGAGTTGCCAAATCCCTTTTTGTCTGGGCTACTGGTTTTGTGGAAACTGCTCCTCCACCTTCATGCTCATCCAAAATTAGTGATTAAATAACCTAATGCACATCCATATATTGGATTACTAGGTAGCCTGTGCAGAGAAGGATGCAGATCTATGTATGCACTGATGGGGTAGATTCTATGATATATCATTATTAGGGTAAAAGGGTGGAGCTTGGGGTCTAGCTCAGTAGTAAAGCATATGCTTAGCAAGCCTGAGGGCCCGGGCTCAATCCTCAGCAATCTCAGAAAAAGGAAGTCACTGTGTGTATGTGTGCATGCATATACACCTATGTGTTTCTAACTGCATAGAAATAGCTCTAGAAAGACAGGCAAAACTCTTTTCTTTTCTTTTGTTTTTTTTTTTTTTTTTTTGTACTGGAAATTGAACCCAGGCGTGCTTAACCACTGAGCCACATCCCCAGTCTGTTTTTTTGTTTTGTTTTGTTTTGTTTTTTTAATATTTTATTTAGAGACACGGTCTGGCTGAGTTGCTTAAGGCCTTACTATATTGCTGAGGCTGATCTTGAACTCAGGATCCTTCTGCCTCAGCCTCCCAAACTGCTGGGATTAGAGCCACAGACTACCGCACCCAGCCCAGGGTAAACTCTTGACTTTAATTAGAATACATATATGACTAGAATCAAATAGTAATTTCATCTTTTACTTTGATTCCAAATTATTTTACTTTGCATATATTACTTTTGAAATTCAAAACCAAATATTGAAAACCCCCAAACTTCACTCTGGATGGGTGGTAGCCCTGAAGAAAATTCCCTAAATGTGACTTTCTTCTGTTCTTGACTGAAGGAGTTGACCTGGGTCACCTGCACTGTGCAGGTACAGGAATAAGTGCTGAGGAGTTAGACCTGAAGAGAGCATCTTTGTCTTTTAGGGACTGCAAATTTTAGAGGGGAAAAGAGGCCCAGAAAAAGAAATACAGTGTGGTGTGATAAATGCCTCAGAGCTACAACTGGGGGCTAGGAGAATGAAAATATTAACATGGCCATCCTTCTAGGGACAATGGGGGAGAGGGCCCAGAGGAGAAGCCTTTATTTTCCCTATTAGTTTATTATTTTTTTTAATTCAGAGAAAAGTGGAAATTTGCAGATCTACCACCTAGATTCAACAATTGTTAACATTTTGCCATGGTAAACTATTAGGTAATGCCAATAAACAAACGCTATCTCATTCAAAAGTTCATCCCTAAATTTTTAAACATAATTTATTTTTGGAGGGGTACCGGGGAATCAAATCCAGCTTTTTTTATTTTTTGAGACAGGGTCTTACTTTTTGCTTAGGGCCTCCATAAGTTGCTGAGGCTGGCCTTGAATTTGTAATCCTCTGGCGTCTGCCTCCCAAATAGCTGGGATTATAGGTGTGCGCCACTGTACCAGGCCTAAGCTTATTAACTTCTAATAATGACATTCTCTTACACTGTGGACATTCTCCACAATGCTATTATCAAACATAAAAATTAATGTTAATCCCTTTTAATCATCTAACAGATAGTCCATTTAAAAATCATCCCAATTTCCTTCTATACCTGAGGGCAATGAACTGACATCATTATAGGGTTTGACAGAAACCTCTCCCACAATAGCGTGGAAACCCAACCAGCACATTTATGAGCCACAAGAAGATCCCTCTGTGTTTTTCACAGGTTGTTTTTCTCACAGTCCAGGATCCATTACTGTGCTTTGTAAAAGTGAATTTGGTTAAGTGGAACTATGTTTCCCAGAACCCCCTCCCCTGAATGATTTCAGGTTAGACTTCGCCAAAAGAGGAATTTGCATATAATCTGGAAGGCAGAAATGAAGCAGCAAGTATTATTCCCTGAAGGTCATTGTGGTTAGATGAGATGACAGAAGCATTGATGAGCATCTCCTAGCTGTGCTCCCTGATTAGTGTCCAGAAACTTTCAAGTTGTTGACCCAGTTTTCCACAAGTGGCCCCAGACCTACCACCAGATACTTGGTAATGGACCCATGGAGGTGGCGGCCACACAGACCCTCCAGAGCTTTCCCATCGTAGTGCCCTGTTAGTGGCTAGAAGTGTTTGACTTCCCACATTGGTGGTTCCTTTTCTGATGCTCAGACTGCTCTCCTGCCCTTCACTTCCCCAGTTCCTACCACAATTATGTAAGGTATTATCCCATAATAAATTCCTTATCTCATCGTTCAGAGTGGTTCTGCTTCCCTGATGGAGACATTTACTGGTACTGGCTGTGGTTTCAGGGCAAACTCTTAAGGATGAGACTCCAGATCTTGTTCTCTGAATCTGATTAAATTTAACTGCATAAGTGCTTATCTCTGTGGTAAACGATTACTTAAATTCTCACCTGTAGTCCCCTGTGATAAATGTTTATGGAAGGAGAGACTTTGGGTAACCAAACATTGGCTGCCATAGAAATATTTTGGTAGAAATAGGAATATAATGAGAAATGTCAGTTGCTTCTACGTATGGGGAAAGTTTGGAGAAAGAAAATGATGAGCTCAGAGATTTAAATTCCCATCCTCCAACTGGGAAAGGGACCAAAAAATTAAATTATTGCCCTAAAAGAAATTCTTACCTTTTATACTTCAGGGTCAAGATTTCTGATAACCCAAACCTTAAAGGAACTGAATTTTCATGCAAATAAAACTTACAACCTAATAGGGTCTTTTGTGATAATATAATAATAATAATAATAATGACAACAACACAGCAATTGGGTAAGAGACCCAAAATCTTAGGATGGGAACATTGGAATAAATACCAATGAAGCTGAAGATCTTTAACCCTGAGTATTGCTGATCCTACTTCACCAAAAAATTAATTAATTAATTAATTAGAAAAATAAAAGTGACCCTTTTTCTCTATCTGTGGTTAGTCTTCCTTACTGCAGAACCTGTAAAGACCTTCCTAGAGGTAGTGCCTTGTGGGGGACAGCTGGTCTTCCTGGAACCTAGCATTACCTTGGACCCCAGCGTGACCCATGAGAAGGCAACACCAAAAACATTGAGAGTTGGTCAATGTATGCATTATTTCCCTTTTTATTTTGTCATAATTTTATACTAGCTGAAAAGTATAATGCAAATGATTCTCTTTACCTTACATCAAGATCCCTGAAATACCTGTTTACACTGACGAAAATCCAGGGAAGCCTGGGTGCAATGTTGTACCCCTATAATCCCAGCAACTCAGAAGGCTAAGGCAGGAGGATGCAAATTTGAAGCCAGCCTCAGCAACTTAGTGAGGCTCTAAGCAACTTAGCCAGACCCTGCCTCAAAATATACAATAAAAAGGGGAGTGGGAATGTGGCTCAGTGGTTAAGTACCTCTGGGTTCAATTCCTGATACCAAAAATAAAACAAAATAAAATAAATAACAATAAAAATAAAATTAAATAAATAGATAAATAAACAAATAAATCCAGGGAGTCCGTATGAGAATGGATGAAAGAATATAATTTGGCCTTGGCTGAATTCATTAATATGGGTGCTGTATTAGAAATACAGCCCTGTTATGACTTTTTGACATGTTAAAAAACTTTTCTGGCTGTGGGGAGACTGCCCCGTCCTGGGCTAGGCAATTCTTAGAGATAGCAAGGTGCCCAGCTTGGAGTGGATCTTTGATATGCATGCAAACCAGCCCAGAGTCAACTCTATCTGGCCCCTACACTCCAAAATGCCACTGCCTTATCCCAGGCCAGGTGCCAGCCAACTAGGGGCCACCCTGTCACCTGAAGCCACCAAAATGATTCAAACTAGCAAGTTCCAAACTGTCTATCCCCCTTGCCTTTCCTGTGTATTCTCCTATAAAGACCCATTCTTCTCCCTCCCACCTGTTTACTGTCACCCTGTCATCCTGCCATCTTTCCCATGTGATCCTGCCGCCTCCTGCCTCTGGGACCTGTGAGTATAATAAGCTTTGTTTTCCTGAGCTTCTCTTCTGTTTCTTCTTATGGCTACACCTGACTGACCATCTCATCAAAGAATGCAAAATAGGTGCACTAAGCAGAGAGCCTGGGTTTCACGTATGTGCACAAGTGAAGAGAGAAGGGCTTTAGAAATCTGCTATGAAACCCAAAGATGTCTTGCACTAAAAGAAGCTGAGATGTCAAAACTCCAGTTATGGTTCAGATATGAGGTGTCCCCCAAAAGCTCCTATGTTAGTGCAAGAATATTCAGAGATGAAATGGTTCAATTATGAGAGCTGTAACCAAATCAGTCCATCCTAGTTTGAATGGACTAACTGGTGATAACTGTAGGCAGGTGGGCCATGGCTGGAATAAGTGGGTCACTGGGGGCATGCTCTTCTCTCTTTGTCTCTCTCTCGCTCTCTCTGAGATTCCTGACACTCACCATGAGTTGAGCAGCTTTCTTCCTCTGGGTCTATCCCCCATGATATGCGTGCTACCTCACCTTGGCCCCAGAGCAATGGAGTCAGTCATCTATGGACTGAGACCTCTGAAACCATAAGCCCCAAATAAACTTTCCCTCCTCTAAGTTTCTCTTGTCAAGTATTTTGGTCACAGAGATATAGAAGCTGACTAAAACAACTCCCAATACTGAAGAGGAAGGTATGCAGAGCACTAGAGTAGATTTGTAATGTGAAACCAGCTAACCATATTCTTTGGTAGGGTCCAAAGAATACTCCCTTCACCAAGGTTTGAGAAATGCTTTGATGAGAAGAATTCCAGTGCTCCTAAATAGTCACTCTGTGGTGACTATTCTTGAAAGGCAAGTCAAGGAACAGGAAATGCAGTAATCGAAATGGGCTTCCTGAATTAATGCAAAGGGAACAACAGGATATTGGTGTGTCAGGAGCCTAGTGGAGGCACTAAGTAACCAAGACAGTGGTAGTGTAGTTAATGGGCCACAGAGCCAAAGCAGGCATCAGAGTGGTTTGGACTTCAGAATATGGTTTTGTCTCACTGATCATGGTGCCCCTAGGATGTAAATGGCCTACTAGAGTCTTACGTGATTTGTACAAGTGATAGGTGTCTGGCAATGGTGAACAGAAGTCTGACTCTGACAGCAGTCAGGGCCCTTTAACTAATTCTCACATTGTAGATGGGTCTTAAGCCCCAAGCCTATTGGGTAAAGGGAAGACTAGGCTCATCTGAGGAAGGACTTGCTAGACCACCAAAAAGTTAGACTTTAAATATTCCTCTTAGCCTTTCCCCAAAATCTGTGGTTATTGCACAGGCTGAATATGCATTGGGAAAGGGAAATGACCAGGTTCTAGGAATTACTGAAACTTGGCTCTGAACTGATACTAATCTCTAGAGATTCCAAATGCTACTGGGTGTCATTATCAAAGTAGAAATTGATGGAAGTGAGATGGTGTATGGAATTTTGGGTTGACTCCATCTCACAGCAAGCCTAATGGTTCCCAGAATCCTTTCTGTCATTATCTCCTCAGTTACAGAATGCATAAGTGGATATACACTACCGCTTAATATACTCAGCAGCTGCTATGGTGTGAATACAGTTTGTCACCTAGAACTCAGGTTGAAACTGAATTCCTACCATGAATTAAGATGCAAAACCTTAGTCCAACTAGGGTATTCAGAGAGGTTTCCTTGGGAGGTAATTAGCATTAGCTAAAGTCTTTAGGATGAAGCTATCATGAGTAAATCCTGGCGACTTTATAAGGAGAGAGAGACCAGATCTCTTGCCACGTGATGCTCTGTACCATCCTGTGACTCTGCCAGCAAGGGAGCCATCATTACTTCCAGAGACAGTGTCTAGAGACGCTCAGAACCATTCAGTGTTTCATAGACATCAGAGGTTTTCCTACAGCACAGCCTCTAAAGACACTCAGCTGTCTCAAACTCCTGGTAGTAGAATCATTTACATTTACACCAAGAAGGCTGGGAAAGTACCCAGATCTGCATGTTGTACACACCCAGGCAGACTTCAAGGGGTTCATGCTGTGAGACCTGAAGTGCTGATGAGATTATCTAAGACTTAAAACCTGTCAGCAGGGCCTAGGATGGCTCCACAGGTCCTCAGTGTGTTTGTGACAGAACCAAGTGTACTCTCCTTATGGAGGAGCAGAAAATCATTATGAAAGTTTAAAGGCAGAAGTACAGAGTCAGAAAGCTAAATTAAAGAATGAAGCTTCTTTGAGTAATAAAAGATCAAAAGGCTTGTTCTGGCTGTGTGTGGTATGCACACCTGTCATCCCAATAACATAGGAGGCTGAGGCAGGAGGATCAAAAGTTTGAGGCCAGTCTGGGCTATTTAGACCCTATCTCAAATTAAAATAAGAAGGGCTCTACGTACTATAGGGATATTGCTACATTGATGTTCATAGCAGCACAATTCACAATAGCTAGACTGTGGAACCAACTTAGATGCCCTTCAATAGATGAATGGATTAAAAAATGTGGCATTTATACACAATGGAGTATTACTCAGCACTAAAAAAATGACAAAATCATGGAATTTGCAGGGAAATGGATGGTATTAGAGCAGATTATGCTAAGTGAAGCTAGCCAATCCCTAAAAAACAAATGCCAAATGTCTTCTTTGATATAAGGAGAGCAACTAAAAACAGAGCAGGGAGGAAGAGCATGAGAAAAAGATTAACATTAAACAGGGACGAGAGGTGGGAGGGAAAGGGAGAGAGAAGGGAAATTGCATGGAAATGGAA